TAAGTTTAAGTCATAAGGTGAGATCAAGTGGGAGAATGTTAGGTTGATCTCTACCAACTTGGCCCAATGGCCAATTGGGCCCTTGATCCACGCGCTGATCGGGGGCGCCCAATCCTATCTATGGTTGATGCGCCCCCGTCGCACAACGCCATTAAAAGGAGGTGGGGGCCGAGGCACAAGGTACGAGGTTCACCTGAGCCGTCACAAACCCCACCTATATCCTAACCCTAAGCCGATCTAGAGAGGGAGCACTGCCATCGACGGGAAGCCGCAACCGCTGCGTCTTCACCGCCGTCTCTGCGACCGCACCTCCACTGCGACATCCACACCGTCGTCGGACTCCACCGCTACTCTACGCCTTCACCGCGTCACCGACACCGACGCCATGGCTACGTCGAGCTCTTCCTCCAAACCCGCGGATGGTTGATGACATCTCATTTCCCTTCCCCCCTCTCTCTAGATCATGTTCTAGGAAGTTTTCATCCCGTATGTAAGGTTGTACCCACGCTCGACTCCCCCCATCCCGCCCGGGCGCTGCAAGTCCGCCTCAGCATCCGCATCGTCCTCCCCCAATCAGCAGTTGTGGGCTCCATCAGCAACACATCTCAGCGTATGCCGCAGCCTAGCACCTGCCTGTATTGTCAGCATCTACCACCTCGCCTCGGCAGTCCAGGTCCCCTCCTAGGTGCCTAGAGGAGAGGGAGGTGGTCCGAGACGCTGCCAGGACGCTGTATAGAAGAGGGGAGGTGGACTGCCGCCGTGCACCATAGACGAGGTAGGTGTCTGACAGCATCGCCATTCCAAGATCAGACGTTTTGAGGTATAGCAGTGACTAATTTTTAAATCTGAATTATTTGACAGCAACTAGGTGGTCTGTTTTTTAGTTTGTTCAGACAATTCCTTCAAGTGGTATATCAGCTTGCCAATTCCTTCAGAGTGTTTTGATTTACAATGGACAGCAGTAGAAGAAGGATAGCAGTTCTTGAGTTGTCTTTGGGGTCCATTAGTTGTGTATATATGTTGTTGCAGTAGCAAAATTGCGTGCTTGTCTGATCCATCTGTGTAGGCTTTTATGAATGGTGTTGCAGTAGCAAAATTGAATTCAGATTACTAGAACGTCAGGTGTGGCAGGATTGAAACATCTATGAAATACTTGTTTGGGTTCTTTGTTCAGTTTTGTATCATTTCCCACTTCAATTGGTGCTACAAAACATAACAACATTTTGCTGTCCTTCCAATATTAAGGAGACGAGTGACGTGTGCTACAATTATGAATGAGAAGTATACTTGCTAATGACGATCCTTTGCTGCAAGCATAATCCCATAATAAGCATTTGTTTATTTGTAGAATTAAGTCCTTGTACAAGTATTGATACTAAGTAACTTTCGGCCAGCTCCAGTGTCTGTACCTAGCACTAGCAAAGGTGTTTGATCTCTTCTCATGCTTCACGATTACTAGCTCGCTACCTGCTCCCCATGCTACTATAGTCCAATGTGACGATTCTTCAACGCTTCTCCTTTGTAGACTGCCTAATGAATGTAACACTATCTTGCTTAGCTTGCTGCTACTATTGTCTGCCTGCAATTCCGGAGCAACCATTCCTGAGTACCTTACTGCTTTTTAGGATCCATGACTGTTGTTGTTTTTATTTGGATAACCGCTGCTATAATACTATGGATTGTAGGTTAGTGTTGGACAATCCAACGACTGAGTCACTGACATCAATAGCAACTGTTGCACGTTAATTTGCACAGTTGCGTATCTGTTAAATAGAGTACCTTTCTTGTGTATCTTGGAAGGACAGCGAGAGAGGGAAATGTACTGCTGCTGCAAGTATTCAGAGTTTTGCTGTCATCTTTACTTGACATCATCACTTGAATTAGTGTCCACCACCTGGCCTCCTGGCTTAATTTATTAAATTAAAGTAATGATCGTATGCTAAGGAATAGGGAACACAAATGCAAATTTCACGATTTTAAATTGCTAGCATAATCAAAAAATTTAGGTGGTTGCATCAGCAGTTATAATCTTGGAGTTTGGTCACACAGATTCGGATGGGGCTGCCTAATCTGGACGGCGCTGGTCGGCAAAGCTAATGAGGTGAACTGACTAAATCTGTGCAAATCATTGAACATATGTCTTGGTTCTCATCAACTCCTAGGAGTTAGCAGGCATCCTCTTGTCGGCAGCAAGGGGATCCAAATGCTGATGGCTGTGCAGCCAAACAATCCATATAACTAGATTTGGATATAGTCTGTTGCCTCTTCATCACAGGATAAGAATACAGAGATTGAAATACAACAATAATTGATCCTTTTTGTATCCAGGGATCAATTATGCCCCCAAAGAACACAGCGTCCAAAGGTGAGGGGATAGAAGGGGAGATGAGGAAAATTTGCGACAATATGCTAAGGCTGTCATCATGTAATTTGAAGATAGCACATCAATTGTTCATTGGCCTCTTAGGACACCATATTGTCTCCTGGACTTCTTCTCATGAGATTGCAGTGGATACCATGTTGATTATAGAACTATCACATAGCTTATTCACCTGAATATAGAATGTAAGTTTGTTTGCTAGAGGTCATGGATTCACGGTACAATGGTTCATCTGAGATTGTGTCCATAACATTGTATAGGCCATTGACTCAATTTTTTACTGCTCATGGAGGGTAATATTTGTTTGTTGATGATCAGGAATAATTGTATTTGGTATATGAACATCCGTAAAGTATGATGAATCTAGAGCTTAATGTTTGTTTGTTGATGATCTGGATTGTGATAGTACATGAATATTGCTGCCGTTGGATATCTAGCCTACTGAATATATGTGATATTTCTAACCTACAGAATATCAAATTTGGGCTTTCTGGTTTGCTCAAGACCAGTTTTGGGTTATTGTAATTTGTCGTTATAGGACACGTTCCATGGTAAAATCAAACTACATGGTCAAATTTGAGCGTTGCAATGGACAATGTTCCCTTCTTTTGCATTCAGTGGTGAGATGACTTTTATGCTGTAGTATTGTGAGACCCAGCTCATGGGCCGAATTGCGGTTGGGCCAGGCACTGTAGATATAGCGCTGAATTGGACTGGGCTAAATTCGGGGCCACTGTAGCGGCAGAAAACACTGTACAGCCAGAAGTTTAGTACTCACCGTGAATTCTGAGCTCGCCGAATCATCTTAAATAGTTAGGCCAAGTAGTAACTTTCGGTTAATTGTTTTGCGCGGAGCGAAGACGAAAGCGCAAGCGAGTTACTATGTAGGTGGGGCCCACCTCTCGGTAGAGTGGGGCCTGTGCCGAGCCTGGGGTGTTACAAATGGTATTCAGAGCCAACTCTCGCGGTTTCACGGTGCGTATGGTCTAGAAGCGTGGATAGGCTGTGCATGGCTCCAGTTGGGCCGAGGCTACTGTAGCTGTAGAGGTGAACTGGATCGGGCTGAATTTAGGGGCTACTGTAGTGCTGAGTACTGTAGCTGCAGGAAACACGGTGCACGCAGAAGTTGTGCCATTGCGCGAAGCGAGGACGAAAGCGTAAGCGGGTTGCTACGTAGGTGGGCCCCACCCCTAAAGTGGGGCATGTGCTATGTGCCGGGCCTGGGGTGTTACAAGTATTCAACTTAAATTGGTTTTATTAGCTTTTTAAGGAAGTAGTGCACAAGTAAATTCACTATGTACATACAGAAGTAAAAAAAAAAGTCAAAGATGCTTTTGTGCTATAGTATTCAATTTAAGATATAATCCTGTAATGCTGCCAAGTTAACAAATATATGTTGAAAGAAAGTATCAAGTGGAGAGTGTAACACCCGTTGCAACGCACGAGCATCTGCTAGTACAAGGTACTTAGTTGATTTTGTTCCAAGCCTTGCCAAGTAAAAAGTGACTGAAATAATTTCTAGCATTAAAAGTAACCTTCAAAATAGAAACAGACTGAAAGTTTAGCCAGGTACAGAATCCCAAATACATGAGGAGACATACTTCTTATAAACACTCTTGAAACGACAATCCGTAGAAAATTTAGTGACTGAAAGATGCAGGATAGTGTCTGGTAGCCTTTTTTTTATTAGAAAATGGAAAAATTCCGGCATCTGCAGCCGCACACAGCCAAGTGCCTGGTAGCTGTAAATAACAAACATCAAAATGTGTCTCGTCATGCCACTTTGAAATAATGCATTACTGCTGACCTGCGAAATCAACAGCAATTGTTTTCCGAATGCTTGTGAAGGACAGATTTTAACTAGAATGTTTCCTATCAAGAGAGCAGATTTACTGGTCCAGTAATAGAACATATGTCTTCAGTGATCTTTAATCAAATTGCTGTCATATATATCAATGTACAGCAAACATCAGAGCTGTATATTATGCTCACACATTTAATTGAAAAAAGCATGCATCTATTACATGGCAGAAGCAAAAACAAAAGGTTTTTGCTTGGGCACATGCAGGCCAAGCTGTTTAAATTTTTGATACATAATTTCAATCCAAATATTTGAATAGTTCCTTCAAAAGTCCAAGTCTATGGACCTTTCACATAGAACCAGTTCAGTTACAATTTTCATCCTGAGATCTAAATAAAAAACACAATGCAAATTAACAATCATGGCTGCGCCATATATTATTGTATATTCAAACATTGTAGAAAGTTACTTCATAAAGCTTATCAAAACGCCATCTATAGCCATATAGACAGATCACATGAAATAATTGAGCTATTTGCATATCTGATGTATCCATTTAGTGCATGGTCTTGCATAATGTACGATTAACACAATGAATCTGTCATTCTGGAAATAAGCTCAAATAGCTCGAAACTAATAGGACCAAATTAAGTTGCATGGTTTGGCCAGGAAATTTCTAATCACAACTGCATATTTTTTTTATAAAAAAAATTCATCAACAGTATGTTAACAGGAATCTATATGATAAAGCGAAGAATAGAAGAACAAGGCAAACATATGTAGAGAACTAATTTGTATGAAGTCATATACCATACCTAGTTACGCGTTGTCCACACCATCTTCAATCAAAGCAAAACTCCCATAGTTTCCTACTAAAGAAGGAGGCCATGCCATGATGTAGGGATGGAAATGACGGGCACGAAAACTCCTCGGAAACAGCTTCTCCAGCTTCATTGTTTCTAAGCACAGCGCCACAACCATCTCTGATGTGACCAAGTAGACAAACCCATCCACAATAGACATGGCTTGCAGTGTATCAATGTCTTCTGGTGGGTTTGCGTCTGCCTCATAGTCCACGCTACGCAGAACCCACCTCACCACACCATCATCATCAGCTCTGTTCATGGACACAAAAATGCTCCCCCCGATGCAGAAAACAATGCAAAGGGCACCGTCCTTAGTTTCGCCAACAACCAAGTGGCAACCCTGCAGACCCTTCAGGTATGGTGGGAGCTCAGAAACAGAGAACTCCATTGTTGATGTGTCCAGCTTCAGCACGTGCTCCAGGTTCGTGAAAGCCCAGTACAGCGTGTCATTTGATCGCACCCCAAACTGAAGCCAATGTGTGTCGGCATCATTCGACAGTGCCCTCTCCTCGATTTCCACCCAAGGGTGAAAGAACCAATCCCCGGTGTCTGACGAGAAGACCACAACTTTGAACCTTGGATTTGCAATAACGAAGCCAAACAAGTTGGAACGACATGGGGTCTTCATCCGAGGAAAGCAAATGGCAGTCGACCGAGACAGGTACATCTGTCCTTTGTTTATCGGAGAGTTAAATTTTGTTCGTGTATTATCTGGATCCATCACCTTTCAGACTATATTTTTGTTGGGTCTATTAATTTTTGGTGGTGTGTTATCCAGGTTCATCAACTTTTAAATTGTATTTTTTAGGTCCCTAAATTTTTTAACTGGTTCACCGTAGGTCCATACCTCTTCGTTTAACGAATAGATCTTACATGGCACGCCAAATAAGCAGCCACCGTGGAGTATAGGATGAGATCACCATCCAAAGATAATCTTCAATACGAAGAATCTGATGGGATAACCATCTAGGGTTTCTCGAGCGACGGCTCGACGACGAATAAACTCCACAATAAAATCCAGTCTAATCTACTTGGTATAAGGCCGAAGGCAACAGGTATAGGCACGCAAGCCACCTGACTCAAACAAAACTCGAATTCCACCAGCCCAACTAGAATCGATTGACCCTGAGTTCCTGATTCGGCTAACATGCATGACACGTCCAAACATAGCCACCAATTTGATTCACGTACACATGTGCATGTAGGCACTAAAAGCCAGATGCTAGATAAAAGTTCGTGTATCACAACTGGATAGAAAACTACTACATGGAAATAATAAAATACTATGGCAAGGATGCTAATCACGTTGGAAAAATTCCATCGATAATCTCTACCTCTTTAGAATAGTACTTATGTATTTTGTTGCCTTTATTTTCTCCTCCTTTTCACGTAATAATAAGGTACCTCTATAAAATATTTTCGATGACAGTTCAACAGTTGTAAATTTCTTCATGTTCATAATATATTTATCCTTAAAAATAATAGTTTTAAATTTAAGACCAGAGAATATTAACGAATTACCAACTGCTACATTTGAATTATTGCTAGACAAGTCTCTATGAACATCTTGAGGAGCTATGGACTCATCACCTACTCCATGGTGGCTACTTATTTGGCGTGCTATGTTAGATCTATTCGCTAAACAAAGAGATATGGACCTACGGTGAACCAATTAAAAAGTTTAGGGACCAAAAAATATAATTTAAAAGTTGATGGGCCTGGATTACACATCACCAAAAGTTAATAGACCAAAAAATACAGTTTGAAAGTTGATGAACTTGAATGACACATCACTAAAAATTAACAGAAATACTATACAACACACGTGTGTTTTAGAAAAAAAAACACATGAATTTTTTGGCCTCGTCCGGCCGCTGCTCGTAGATGTCCAACAGCTTCTCGAGGTCCTTCCTCTGCTCGAACAGCTTCAGCATCTCCTCCTTCTGCGGGCTCACCTAGCTCTGGCTCGCCGGCGGCTGTTGCGACCCAGCCACACCGCGCTTGCCGCTGGACGCGGCGGCATTGCTGCCCATGGCGACGTCCCTGGCGTTGAACCCGCTGCCGTTGTTGTCGTTCTACTGCCTGGGCAGGGTGGGCGACAGGATGGCGAGGCTGTAGACCATCTCGGCGCTGGGCGAGTCGAAGCTCTGCGCCTTCGTCTGCAGCCATTGCTCGATGGACGCGTGCTCCCGAGCGCCCGTGCCGATCAGGTCCGGGTTGCCCTGCTTCGCGTCCGCGCCGGCCATGGCAGTGGCGGTGGCGGCGGCGGCGACGGCAACGGATTTATGATTTGTCTTTTCATAGAAAAAAATTATGATTTGTGATCTGTGGAGGCTGGAGGTAGAAAAAAGGTAGAGGCTGTTGGATCTTAATCCTATGGTGCAAAAAAATTCATGTATTGAAACTATATAAAACATATGATTGTGTAGTAGACAGACTCAAAATTAATGGACCAAAAAATTTACTTTGAAAATTGAGATAATTGGTTTCATAGCATTGAAAAATCAATGCATTCGAAAAATACCATCAAAAGACGACTGTCACGTAAAATACCACTAGAAGAGTGGAACGTTACCTTTAAATAGCGTTCCGTCGCGTCACGGTAGACACTAATGCCGTGAATCCCTCCGTCAAGCCCTCCTCTTTCTCAGTCTAGCAGCTTCTCCGTTCGCGTGCAGGAGGTATAGCAGCTCCGTGCCCCTTGGTCTGGCAACAGGGTGAGCGCCGTGCCTGTACCCAACGCCGCGTGAGAGCGCTCCGTCGCCGACGCGACCAGGGTGATCGAGGCCTGGGACCTGCCCATCGAAGTGCCACGGCGAAGCAGTGCCAGGTCAACGGGGAAGAGGCAGACGACAGCAGCGGGCACAGCGATGGCAAGGAGGACGAAGACGACCTAGGAGCTCATCGCCTAGCTAGGAGCGCGCAGCCACTCGGCCATTGGGATTTTCCATGAACCGCTGCAGCGATGCCTACCATGAATATGGACATGTCTGTGCCAGGCATCAGAGGGAGTACTGCCACCGTGCCCGTAGAATGCGCCTCGATCCACCGCCGCCGTACGCGTACTAGTATGGCAGCATCTGTGCCGTAGTAGTCAGTAACCGCGTATAGTGATAAATGCCGACATGAACACAAGCACCTTGAACGATTGGTCGCTCATGGTCTGCAAACACATCCTTGCAGAAGAGTAGTAAAAAAGGTAGTGAAAATCACGGAGGCCAGTGCAGCCACCATCACCAGCACCGCCGCTTGCATGTTGATTATTTAGCTGTGTTCGTGCGGGATGAAAAAATAGTGAAAACCACGCTGGCCTGGCCGGGGTCTTCGCGGTGATGAAGCGTTCCTAGGTTCCGCAGTGACGTAGTCCAGGTTCCTTGCCATGTCCACGGCAATCAGCATGAAGGAACAGCTGATGCCGGCGGCGGCGGTAAGCAGGACGCAGTGGTCAATCACGACGCCGCCGAGTAGCCCGTGGTAGGGTCCCGCCCGATGTCCGGCGCGGCGAGGAGGGGAGGAAGGTTCGATTCAAGATGGTTGCGGCATCGGTGCGTGCTGCGATCTCCCAGGAGGTTCACCGGGAGCTTTGGAGCCGGTGGTGCGCACGTTCAGCAAGGCTTTGCGTGCGGGGGTTGTTCGCTTATACGTGACGTCCTTCATCCTCGGCGGTGTTGCCTCGCGGAGACAGAGGAGGCGAGGAGCTGCTAGATGGAGAACTCATACGGACGATGGAGGAACCGCTGGATTGGGGAAGAAAGGTGCCTGACGGGGGGATTCACGGTGGCAGCAGCAACCGTGACAGAATGTAACAGTTCACTCTTTCAGTGGTATTTTACGTGACGGACGTCTTTCGATGGTATTTTTTTAGATGTCGTGATCTTTCGATGCTATGAAACTAATTTTCCCTTGAAAGTTAACGGACCTAGATGGACCGGTGCATTTAAACGACGCCGCCGAGTAGCCTGTGGTAGGGTCCTGCCCGATGTCCGGCGCGGCGAGGAGGGGAGGAAGGTTCGATTCAAGATGGTTGCGGCATCGGTGCGTGCTGCGATCTCCCAGGAGGTTCACCAGGAGCTTTGGAGCAGGTGGTGCGCACGTTCAGCAAGGCTTTGCGTGCGGGGGTTATCTTTGCTCTATTCGCTTGGCATGATAAGCCATGACTGAAAATACCGTTGACTGATTTATTATGAGAGAAAAATACGCTGCTTATAAGCCAACGAACAGGACACTACTCCGTGTTGTACTACTCCGTGCTGTATCGGGCTAGTGGGTTGACGCCTTGACGGCGGCGAGTAACTCGGCATCCCAATTCGCGAGGAGGAGGTAGCCGTCGCGGCAGTCTTGAATGTGCCAGTGGAGGGGCACGTCGGGCGCGTAACCTTGGGGATCCAGGAGCGCAGTGAGGGCGAAGCCGAAGTCGCCACCGCTAATGGCCGCGAGCACGTCGCGGTCCCTGTGCTGGGCGGGCGCGAAGGCCGGGACGGCGTCGCGTTGGGGCTCCGCGACGAGACCGAGGAGGGGCGCCCGATGGAGCTCGCGAAAGCGGCGGCGAAAAGCAGGGGAGGAGGCCACCGCACGGCGCCACGAGCGGCAGGTGAGGGCGGCGCGGAGGAGCGTCGCTAGGGAGGGTAGGTGGAGAAAGATCTCAAGCAGGATGTCCTCGTCGAGGGAGTCGATGGTGGTGGGTCCCGATAGCCTCGGCGATTTCGCCGCCGGCAGCTCGGTTGGGTCAATACCGCGGGACATCGTGGCGAACCGGAGACCGGCAGCGCCGCGGTGGTGAACCCTACCCAAATACCCAATTGCCCATCTCTGTACAACACCCAATTACCCAATTGCCCAAATACGTCTTGAACGAAAATTTGCCACAAGGCCCAATCACGGAAAAAAAAAGCACAAGGCCCATCTTTGTACGATATAACCGTAGTCATGAGTGTGGAGTTCTCTGTTTCTGAGCTCTAATGGGGTGGCCCTGTCCATCACTCGAAACAATCACGGGCCTTGTGATAACCGTTCCGCATCTCCGCCGCAATGGAGCGCCAGGGGTCTCCAACCAGCCGCCGCCGGCGAAGCGCCCAAGAGATTCAAGCCCCACAAGCACCACCACCATCCACTCCCTCACGGACGACCTCCTGCTCCGGATCTTCCTCTGCTCCCCGGATCTTCCTCTGCCTCCCCTCCCGCGACCGTCCGCGCCGCGCTCGCCTGCCGGGCGTGGCGCCGCGCGGTGGTCTACTCGCCGGACTTCCGCCGCCGCTTCCGGGAGCTCCACCCGGCGCCCCTCCTCGGCTTCTTCTTCGAGCCCCCCAGCCCCGTCCTACACCCGGCCCTCCCGGCTTTCCCCTCCTTCCTCCCCGTGCGCCGCCGCGTAAGGGACCTGTCCGTCGCCCTCCGCGGCGGCGACTTCTTCCTGACATGCCTCCAGCAGCACCCCTGCATGGCCCACTCCTGGGACATCCTCGACTGCCGCGGCGGTTACGTCCTCCTCTGTAATGTTGACCAGTCAAGTGCGCAAGCAATGGCGGTGGTGAATCCCCTGGCGCGACAGTGCCGGTTATTCGACTATCTCCATGTGGACACCTTCGAAGGTTGCCATGGCACTGCCGCGGAGCTCAACGCCTGCTTGCTCTGCTCCGAGGAGGAGCCCGCATCGTTCCGGGTGGTGCATCTTGCCTACGACGAGTCCGGGGTGCGGGCTACTGTCTTCTCCTCGGACACCTGTGAGTGGAAAGTTCACCCCTGGGTTGATGTCCCAGGGAGACCACGGCGATCAAAATCGTGGCTTCTGAACAGTAGCATGCAATCAAATGGGTTCTTGTACTGGGTTTACAAGAATTACAAGTATATGGTCACGCTGAACACGGCGACAATGGAGTTCTCTGCCGAGGAGCTCCCTCAGTTCCTGAAGAATCGGTGCTGCAGCTTCAGCGTGGGGGAAACAAACAACGGTGTGCGCTGTATTGCCTATGCTACTGACTTCACCGTTGGTGTGATGCTGTGAAGAACAGATGGCGATGGCACTGAGAAGTGGATGCTGGACAGGGCCACCCCATTAGATGCACAGCTTGATGGGGTTCTCAGGAAACAGAAGTGCAACTATGATGAGCTCCTGGTTGTGGCAGTCAGGAATGGCTTTGTGTACTTGGCAACTTCAAACAAGATCAGTGATTCTGCGAACCCAAGTTGGTTCTTGTCGCTCTGCCTGGAAACGATGAAACTGGAGAATTTGTTTCAGAGGACATATGACGGTGCTGCACAACCCTATGTTATGGCATGGCCTCCTTGTTTAGTTGCTAACAATGGGAGTTCTCCACTTGATGCTGGTATGAAGTGTATTAAGTGCCTTCAAAGGAGGAAGGAGAGGATATAAATCAGCAATGCCCAGGGGGCCAGGGGCCATGGAACCTTGTTCTTTGAAGCTACATCATGCTGAAGGATCCAATCAAGTTTTAGTCTCCAGTCTATCCTGTAACTCTGTCTTTTAACCTGGTTGTTTATTATTTATTTACATCCAGTTACCAACTTTCAATGTTGGTGTAAAAACTTCTGAATTTGATTATATTTCTTATGTTCACTGCTGAGTCGTCTTTAGTTGTTCTGTTATTATGACTCTCTTTTGTGGGCTCCCTGTAATATTTTTTCTGCCAAGAGATCGGGATTAGTTTCCTTCTGTTCAAAAATAAATCACAAACCAAGGATTCTGTGTGTTGATACTGTCCTCAGAACGTTAGGTATGTGAAAAATCCTGATATACTGGTTACATCCCTTCTACATGATTACATGAATTTGCATGTGTACTAATTTCCGCGATGATTCAATGAAGGACCAAATTTGTGTATTGATGTAGTAATTTAGCTGTTCTTTTTTTAGTTCTTTTCCCAGTTAAATTACACCACTATAGATTAGTTAAACATGCATAGTCCTCTGTTTTTCTCTGAACCACATAATACCTAATGAAACTTTCAATCTTTGTCATTGATAGATGCATAGAACCCTTCATTTGCGTAGTAGCTTTTGCTTTTGTGCTATGACGATCCGACTTAGAGCACACAGTCTCATAGCACACCCTATTTGTTTTCGGGTCATCATAGCACATGCTATCATCAATAATATCTTGCATTTCAGCGTTCTTGTCCAGGCCATTTTTCTCCCAATATATATTGTTTGCATGTGCTTTGTATCTGGCCACTAAATCTGGCCTGGAGAATGGAGGTGTCTGGAACTAGCAGGGGAGTGCAAGGGCTTGCTGTATTTACCCAGATTAGCTATCAGTCCTTTTAAAAAAAGGTAGCTACCAGTGAGGCAGGATTCGTTAGGTAAATTTTATCTTGTATTTTCGCTTAGTAAGTCCTTGCATTTATATGTTGCTAACTAGATTTCATTCTGATTTCCAACAGCTTTTACCATATACTCAAACATTCTTTAAGAGCTTTTGCCTTGTTTTTTAGAGAAAACGTGGACCTATAAATTGATCCCATGGCTGACAATGCCTGACAGTACAATGCCAAATATTATTGTGGCATTGGGGCTGTTTGGATTGCGACCTAGTACTTCTCTTCACGAATAACAAGTGGTTAAGGAAGGAGATTAGAACTGCATAATCTGGTACTACTCTTCCCATCATAGTACTTCTCTATGGTATTTGCCTTGCCTTGTGGAATCAGTTCAAGTGTGGTTCCTTTACATGGCTGTACATAGATCTTTGATATTCAATTGTGCATTAGTTCGAATGACAAGTTTGTTTCCTGTTTTGCTTCTGAAATACACATCTTCCTTTATGCTATAATGCCTCTTATGTAGTGTCTTTTATTTTTTCGTTTGGAAATCACACATGGTCCTCTTTTTTTCTTTGAACCACATGATACCCTTTTCGATCGAAAACTTGCAATTGTAAGTGCTATTTGTTCAGTTAACTGAATAATTATCCTTGTACTGAAGCAGCATGAGGCTTTTTATTTTCTGCATAATCTATTTCTTGTGCTGGTGGATCATATAATGCTTTCTCTACTTGCTTGTTTATATGATTGGCAAATAACATTACACAGGTGGACTCAAACTGTACAAGACCCCTCGCTTTCTCGACCTATTCATGGATAGGAAAACATTTCCATCACATGTCGAGCAATGTTAGATATCACAAGCTTGGTCTTGTTACGTAGTTATGTATGGGTGCCCTATTTGTGATGACCTTTTAAAGCTTGGTCTACTTGTGATTCCCTGTTTGCCTTGGGTGTTTGCTTTCATTACAGATTTGAGGAGGTGAAGCTATGGAATACAATTCAGCAAAAATTCCCTAGAGAATAAAGAAGATCTGCAATCTGGTTGTGTTGATGTCAAGCCCTACAAACATAGATGTTTATTTTGCATGAGGATGCAACTCTGCAACTTTGTGTAAATGATTTGTTAAATTGAAGGCAAAGACAAGTCCTTATTCTTTATCTAGCATTCTCTGTCGTCAAGTCCAGATCATGCATAGTAGTTTGTTAAATTGAAGACAGTCAAAATGCGTTACTTGCAGTCATGTATTCATGTATGCACATGCATGTTCTAGGTTATTAATTATTTTTATTTCTCTAGGTATTAGGGTTTTTGAGTTATATTTTTTAATAAAATTTTCAATATTTTTTTTCCAATTTTTTCTAGTTTACTATTTTTGTCATTTATTTGCACTTCGTTTCGACTTGGTTGCCTATACGCTATACTAAAGAAGGGAAATCACTTGGTAAACCCACTCCTTCCAAATGAGCAAATTAGAAACGTGATTTCCCCCCACATGTAACAGAAATCCAAAGTGGATTGGCCGATCAAGGTGGATCAATCAAATACACGTGTGCGTGAGGTTTCACGTGGATACAAGCCACGTGTGACACCAAACGAGGCTTCAATGGAATAAAGGATAACTGTGGCCCACTGGATTTCATATCCTTGTCCCATGGCAAGGACTTAGCTCTTAATTAAAAAAACAGAGCTCTTGCCATTACCTTCAAAAGAAAAATGGTGAGGCAACGACTGCTGCCAGTTCAATGGTATAATAGACAGCACTCCATACCAACTATGTCAGAAAACATATCTTTTTTTTTTTTTTTGTGTGTTGGGGTGGGGGGGCGCAAAAGTCAGAAATGTAACATGGAGGTGTGGCTGAAAATCTGGGGGCCTCTCAAGTGCTTGATCCATCTCAGCCTCTCCTGCAAATATTTTTCACATCGTATCTGAAACAAACGCTAGTAGACAAATCAAGGTGCATGGTATTAAGCTACTAACATTTGATTATTTCAATATAGACTTGCTTTTGTTCCGGAGCACAGTACTGCCATAAGAGTATAACTTTTGTTGATATATTTCTCCTCTACTAGGTGCATACTTTCGTCAGTCAAGCATGAAGCAACTCAATGGTGCGACTGTCACTAGTGCTCCAAGACTCCGGCCATTGTTCACCGGCCCCCTCTCTGTCTCCATCCTCTGTCCTCTCTCTGTTTCTGATCTTTTCAAGTTTCTTTAGGTTTCACACTTTACATTCCTCTAGACAAAAAAGTTCCAAACTAACTGCACTACTGCATACTTTATCGGTACAGCAATTTATACGAATCCTATGAGGTTACTCTGGTAATAAACGAAAATCCGTTACACCCATGACCCATTGCCATGCCAGACTTCAGTGCCTCCAAACGAGGATCCTTAGTCAAAACTCAAAAGGCAGACTAAACTTCTCTCTTCACCTCCCCTTTCCCTTCACCTGTCAGATTAGTCATTAGAGACCTATGCTAGACAGGCCCATTCACATCACCTGCTCCCTCCGTTTCACAACATGTGTCATTCTAGGATACAATTTTTTTTATCCCCCCCCCAAGTGATCAAACAAATAGACGTCTACAGGAAGCACTGTCTCTGGAGCAAAGGTGACATAAATAGAAAAGGTACATGCTTTGTTGCTTGGGAAACAGCCTGCAAACCCAAAGATCAAGGTGGACTAGGTATAATTGATATTAAAAGCCAGAACAATGCTCTCTTGCTAAAACTTTTGGACAAGTTTTACAACAAATGTGATATCCCCTGGGTTCAGTTAACTTGGTCCAAGCTTTATGCCAATAATCAAACCCCACCTCATGTCAGGAGTCCTGTGGGATCATTTTGGTGGAAGGAGATAATTGGTGTCTTCAGTAAATTTCAGACAGTGGCTAGATGCAAGCCAAACAAAGGAGACACAATACTCTTCTGGTCACAGGTATGGATTGGTCAGGATCAGCCTTTCAAAGAGTTATATCCACAATTATTTTCTTTCACCAAGAAATCCAGATGTTCAATCCAATACTTTACTGAACAAGATGAGAGTAGACTATTCACTTGCCACTATCACAACAGGCTGCTATGCAGCTAGTAGAAATTGAAAACTGTATTCAGCAATCAAACTTTGATGAGAATGACAATGACATCTGGAGCTATAGTTGGGGATCTATAAAATACAGCAGCCACAAAGCATACAAAATCTTACAATGGCACACTGAAGCATGACCCCTCTTCTCATGGCTGTGGGCATCTAGCAACTTGGGAAAACATAAATTTTTCTTCTGGCTGCTTATCAGGGACAGACTGAGCACCAGGAACCTGTTGAGGAGGAAAAACATGTACCTTGATGACTATACTTGTGTCCTTTGCAACACTGGACAAGAAGAAACATGTCTCCATCTGTTTTTTGAATATCCATTCAGTCAATCCTGCTGGAATACAATCCCTATTAGCTGGAATCTGAGCTTACAACCACTAGATATGGTGATAGAGGCTAGAGAATCATTTGGGAATAGCATTTTCAGGGAGATTTTCATCACTGCCTGTTGGATTATCTGGCTGACCAGGAATGGTGTTATCTTCGATAATGGACAAGTAAGTATCACTGCTTGGAAGATAAGGTTCAAGGAAGAATTTGGCTATGTGTGTACAAAAGCCACGGTGTCAAGACAAAATCAACTCAATATATGGAGAGATAGCTATGTGTAATGTAATTTTATCCTTTTCTTTGGGCCTGGCTGCCTTGTAACACCATTTTCTGTACATTCATTCTTTTATTTAATTGAAAAGCCAAAAATATTGGTAGGCTACTCCCCTACTGATTCGGTCAAAAAAAAAAAAAAAGGATTCAATTTTTTCTAACATTATTTGTCATTCTTACATTCCAAAGCATCATTCTCCCCACCCTTCACCAATGTAGCTGCAGCATCCAATCATATCCCCCCAGCCAAATGCACCAGCCAATATGGATGCAAGCCATCAAGGATTGTGATGTACTATGAGGGAATAGTTTCTCTTTAATACCCCTTATTTTGCGTGAGATTTCAACAAATATTACGGAACACAGGAAGTACTGATTTCTTGGACAACTGAATCTCATCTAGGAAGGCTAACACTCCAAACATTTCAAAGTAATTTATGAAGATGATGCAACACAGCATTAGCATCATGGAACATGAAGGATCACTCTGTATTTTCTTCTCCAAAGTTGATCCTAAACAAACTATTTCACACTGCACATTTGTTAGTCCCGCATTTGGTATCAATACGATAACTCATGTTTTCCAATGTAATACCAGTGTATTATTGATGAATCATTTTACTTTTCAAGAAATGTCTCTAGTGTAATGCATTGCACATGCTGCACCAGTGGATTGTACTCTCTCATTTTCAAAATTTGAGCAAGCTTAACATGCACACATAACAAAGATTCACCAAAGCTACAAAATAGTCAATGGCACTAAATAATACAAACTTTATTAAACACCATAACAAAACTTAAAACATCTTTTACAGCATTTCAATAGGGATACATCCAGAGAAATTAAATATCACTGTAACGACACCCCTGATTTCCTGAATGGATTTACATTTTAACACAAATGTTAGAAATTGTAGCACCAATTGGATTTAACCAAACTGTACTGTTAACCTATGGATAAGGAAAGAGAATTCAACGAGGCCCAAAAGGCTCCAAAAGTCAGATGCTCCACAAATACGAAGGGAGATTAATATTAGCACTTCCACCTAGCTGCACATGATGAGCCAATTCAACATTTACTCATTTGCATATATCTCTAACTGTAAATCACATGCCTAGATAGATCCTACTTAGCTAGGCCGTCGCATCTGAGATAAGATAAGAAAAGCAACGTACGACTTCAGGCAATTAAGAATTACAAAATTTCAAATTCTATCAATGATGGAGCCATGGAGCATATCGTTGAGAATTTTGTTAGTGAGCTTCTTTCAAAGTAGACCATTAACACAGCCTTTGCTTCCTGTCCTAAAACTGAAATGGTGACCATAACCACCACTGTCACTCCCCTCTATCAAAGCAGCATAGCAGTTGCAGCATGTGCACAAGTACAAGGGTGCTAAGCAGATGAAAGATGATACTCTCTTCAACAGTACTTTTCAGCACTAGATGATCCATATCATGAGCTTGAGACTTATATTTGAGCTCTTATCAAAATCACAACCTTTGTTATATATCCCTTGTACTTCCTATAACACCACACAATCTTCAGTTTCTGTAAGAACTTCAGTCCAAGTAGGATCCTTCAGGAATTATAAGTCCACAGTATCATGCATAAAATCAATTATTCATATGTAAGCAAAACATTACTTATTATGATTTTTCAAGTTCTTCTGTATTATGCTTCTACATAGAATTATAGGCATTATACTCCATGTTCTACTCCCATCTTTCATAGCTATAAGTATAAGTAACACATAAAAATATCAATTTTGAGAAAGTCAAGCATGATCATTAGCATGCAGGATGACACAGATATCTAACATTAAAGAAAAAAATACATTTCTCTTGAGTAGTGCCTCTGTCCTGAAAACGATGCAATTTCAAATAGGTATATTATAAAAATATATTCCATAACGAATCTAATAACATGCATTTTATCATAAATATTGATATGTTTTGTACAAACTTAGCCAAACTTAAAATACATTGACTAGGTATCATGCTAATTGTGTTCTTTTCAAGATGGAGGGAGTAGTATCTTACACAGACCACAAAAGAGACTAAACAATGCCACACCTAAAAGTAAAACCCTAAGAAGCAAACTGGGTTCAGAACTTATATACCAATACTGAGCCATGCTAAGTACTAAATTATAGCTAAAACCATGCCTAGCACTGCATTTAAGGGGGCATCTAGTGCAAAACCTACCATAGTTATGAAGTAATGAAGGTGAGCACACCATCATGTATGGATGAACGGGATTGCCAAAACCGTATTTTCAGTTTCACATATAGACAGGAACCAGCCTGGGTTTGGGGATCATGATATATTGCCAATGTTGCCACATGTCAAATACGCATAGCCATCCCCAACCCCAACTGCCAAAACAAAAAGGTCATAGGGGTTGCCCTCTGAAGAAATCAGCACACTGTCAACTTCCAATCCGTCTCGAAGGTCCATGCAAGTTCTCGGCCCAAGTGAACTACTCTGTTCAGCACCCATCTCTCAACACTATCATCATCCTCTGTGTGCATCAAGACAAAAACTCTGAGATCATCCGACTGTGAAATGCAAGTCATTCCATCCTTTGTTTTACCAAAATCAAAGCTGACAAGGTCCAAAGGATCAGGGCATGAAGCAATGCAGAAGCTCGGTAACTGAGAATGTCATCGTGATGGATGTAGAAGTGAGGAAGAAGTGGCGATGGTGGCAGCCAGGTTCCAGTAATTGGTGCACTGGTGCAGGTAGGGACGAATGGGGGTAAGGCGGGGATGAACAAGCAAATTCCCTTAATATCAATATACCATACATTACGAACATAGAGGCTTTACTGCCATTTTTAGAGCTCCAGTACTACTAACGCAGAATCATGTCAACATTGAGAAAAGTAATGTTCCACACTCTAATTAAATGACAAAAATTGCATGGGTGTTGTTGCTATGAAGAGAGAATATATCTCGTGTTCTGTTGCTGACAATGTCTTAACAGACATACCACAAAAGAAACTCCTAATATCGCAATCTAGAACCTAAAAAACAAACACAACAGACACCAAAGCAGCATACTAGTCTCAGAATCATTGAATCTATGCTTAGGCATGCTAATGTCTAATAGATGAACAGGAGCTAAGAAACTACAATGACAAAATAAAAAATTGGATTGAAAACTCATTGGACCTTAAACATTGCAACTTGATTGGATTCACCTAGGAAATTTGATTTACTCCAGAACAAGAGATTGGTTTTACAGATTCTGATTGTTTTCCTGGACACATGCCCAAATCCCAGTATTCAACACAATGAAGCACCTTCAAGTGCAAATGCTAGCAGTTACCAGCTAAAAAAAGCATCCACTCCATAATGTACAGATGACATCAGCACGTCACAGCCATACATCATCTGGAACAGCTTCTCCAACTTTCGTTATTTCCTGGCATAGGGACAGGAACCACCAAGGCGTCCTGGGATCATGAAACATCATGGATGTTGTCCAATCTACTCAACAATCCTAGAGCTCCAAAAACAATCATGTCAATAGGGTCATCCACCAAAGGAATCGACACATAGTTGTCATTCAATTAGCCATAGAGGGCTGGTTCGAGCTCCATACCCAAAGGGACTAACCTTCCAGCACCCTCTCTTGACACCATCATTGTCTCTATGCAAGTAGTTTCATCCATTGTTTCACCAACAGCAAATGTTCAAAAGGAATCAGTCCATGCACTTTTAAGCTGAAGTGACTTGCACAGACCACAAAAGAGACTTATGATGCCACACCCCAACAACTAAAGATAAACACAACGGACAACGTAAGAAACAAACCAGGGTCATAAATCTTCCACCAATACTGAGAAATGATAACAGATAAATCAATGCCTGGTGATTTATTTCAAGGACTAGGAGCATCTTCAACTGCAAACCTGCCGTAGTTGCCGACTAAAGAAGGAGGCCACACCATAATATACGGATGAGCAGCATCCTCAAACATATTCTTGAATAGTCTTTCCAAACTCATAGTTTCCAAGCATAAGGACAATAACCAACATGGACTTTGAGGATTATCTGCCAATGTTGCCAAATACACATAGCCATCCCGGACTGCAAAAACAGACAGAGCACTAGGGACATCTACCAAATGGTCCACGACACTGCCATCATCCAATCCGACACGAAGAGCTCGTTCAAGCTCTCTGTCGATAGGTACTACCTTATCCAGCACCCATCTCTCGACGCCATCATTATCCCTTGTGGGCATCAAGACACCAACATTCAGGTTATCTGAAAAAACAATGCAAGTTGCACCATCCTTCGTCTCACCAACATCAAAGCCACGATACCTAAGGTAGTGTGGGAGCACAGTGACGCAGAATTCCATCGTGGCGGTGTCCAGTGAAATGAGGTACCTCTGATCCTTGTAGACCCAGTACAGATGCCCATTGGCTTGCATGCCACCCGCATCTTGAATCCATGCATCATCACCTGAACTCGCCGGAACGTCTGCCCAGGGATAAACTGACCATTCCCAACTGTCCGAAGAAAAGACCACAGCCCTTACCCTGCACTTGTCATATACAAGAAGCACCACGCGGAATACCGTAGGGTCCTCGGCAGAGATGAGCAAGCGAGGGATAGCATTGCCGTACTGGTGGCCACGGTGGTCGTCAAACATATCGTCAGAGCCCACATCAAAGACATCCTCACTCTGCCGCGCCAAAGGGTTGAACACGACGAGTGATGAAAGTTCCCAATTCATGAGGAGGACACATCCATGGCAGCAGTCGACCATTTCCCAGGAAGGGGCTTCGTCGGGAAGGTCCTCAATGCAGGTTAACAAGAAATCGCCGACGCGGACGGCGGCAGTTAGATCCCTGTCGCGGCGGCGGGAGGGGACGAAGATTGGGAAGGCAGGTGCGTTAGAATCCCGCGCGGGACCGGGGGCATCGAAGAAGAGACCGAGGAGGGGCGCCGGGTGGATGGCACGGAAGCGGCGGCGGAAGTCCGGGGAGGAGGCCACCGCGCGGCGCCACGCGCGGCAGGTGAAAGCGGCACGGACAAGAGTGGCGAGGGAGGGGAGGCGGTGGAAGACCTCTAGCAGGAGGTCGTCACCGAGCTTGTGTATGGGTGAAGCTCGGCGCGCCTTCCGCCGCCGTTGCTTTCGGCGGCCATGACCGCTATCGGTAACGGCTGCAGGTGGGAGGCCCGCGCGGAGGGAGAGGGTGGTGGTGGTGGTGGTGCTTGGCTCCTTCCCGCCTTTCGGAGGCGGCGCCAGGGTCGGAGAGGAGTCGCCGCCGGTCATTGGCGGCGGTGGATTGAAGGGTTTGCGTTGGGTTCTGGCCGCAACATAGCCGAGGCCCGAGGGTAATTCCTGTATAGTGGGCTCACTTTTTTTTTGTTGAAATGGTATAGTGGGCTCACTTGGATCAACGTCACTCCGGACCATTTCGAAACTGAGGCAAAACGAAGCGCTTCCATTGCACGTGGCCCACGGCAGCCGAGGGATTTGTAGAAACAGCGCTTACTTTTGCTCAAAAAAAAAAACATACTCAGTTGTGAAATAGAAAGTATATACTCGCTCTGTCCAGAAAAGAATGTAATTATCGGATCCGCGCCGGTCAAAGTAGCTCAAGTTTGACTGAGCTTATAGCAAATAGTATTAATATTTGTTTCTCTTAATAAATTTGTTATGAAAATATATTCTATGACTAATCTAACGATACTAATTTTGTATCAGAAATGTTAGTATTTTTATATAACTTTGGTCAAATTTCAAACTGATTGACTTCTCGGAAAGCGAGAATTGCATTCTTTTATGGACGGAGGGAGTAAAAGTTTTAGAACTGACAATAGAGTAAACCAAATAACATATTAAGAACATTTTCTATAACTTTTCTTAAATCCACTCTCTAAATTCTCATTTGGGAGCCATAATAATGAAAATTGATCTTTATATCTCTCCATCCCTCCAACAACTTCTATTTCATCCGAAATTTAGCTCTACTCTATATTTTTTACGAGCGAGAAACCAAGAATAAAGGGTGAGAATGTTTGGAGATCTAGGAGAAGATGTTGTTGAAAATAATTATTCTACCTAGATCTTTATTCATATTATTATGGAAGGATATAAAGAGTCTTTTAGAGTCACTCTAACCCTCACTTAATCATGGAGAGATATTGTGTTTATCTTATTTTGAATTTCATAGTTTTATTGACAATAGGTATTAATGTCAAGGATGCATATGATTTGGATACGGGCTAGGGCTGTTAACAAATATAAGTAGGGGAGTTAATTCACATATACTATATTTTCTCATAATTTGCAACAAATTTTGAATATTTTGATGCCTTATAGTTTAGGTATATATGTTAGTTGGACCCACCAAACAATTGCTTGGTTGTATTTTTAGTGCAACAAATTGTAGAACATGTAAATGGATGCATCAACTTGTCATATATGATCCTATAAGTTCTAGATATGTTGGGTGGATTGCATCTATGACACGCGCGGCAACATCTTCATTGCAAAGGGAAGGGAATTATATTAATTTTTAGATTAATTATATTAAAATTTGGCACATTATATCCTCAAATTACACATGAAAAAAACCAAAAATAAAAAATATATAGTATTCTATCCATATTCTTTCATCGTCTTCTTCCCCAGTGACTTTTTCTTGACACAGCCAATGCTCTAGATTGATAGAATCTTGTTGAATAACGATGTTAGAGTGTAGTCACTATATCAATTACAACGATAAATCCCAAAACTTTAGACATGCCGCAATATTCAATGTCATTCTGGAACCCGTCCAAAACACATATGAAGCGATTAAAGAACACTGACGATTGTATCATTAGTCCAATATATGCTACAGATTTATCAGACGGTGATGGGCATCTTGGACCTGTTAGGGCATATTAAACCCATAGACGGGGGTTGTCTACAATTTGTTGGAATCCACACACAGACAGTCATTCTTGTGTACCATTCTGTTGCTAGTTGATACAAATAGATCATAATAAATAAGATGGACATAATTATAATATTTTTTATCAATTATAAATATAAATGATATATTATAAGTCCTTTATATAAAATGTAGTACAACGTCTTAGTTGTTATATACAATATAAGATGAACATAATTGACACCAATTTCGGCGAGATTGCATTCAAGAATGTTGACGGTAGTTAACACTCATCATAAACCATCAATATAACTTGTATAAATGCATAAAAATGATTACCAAGATAGGTTTAGGGGTTTTTACTAACAAATTCCATGAGTTTTGGTGAATCTGTGTTTTCAGCAGGGTTTATCTAGAAAACCATCATGGTGGACCCAATTGTCAGATTTAATCACGCTTATCCACGACGAAACCGACTCAGGAAGATTTCAAAACACTCCAGAAGGCAAACCACCGCAACAGAGCACAAAACCCTGACATGTGGGGCTGGCTGGCCTATGGGCCCCACCAGTCAGCCCCTCTTCGTTACGTTGGTTCTCCACCGCCTTAAAGATCAAATCTACGTCGTTGCTCGAGGTCGGTTTGATCCGAGGATCCAGAATTGATACTGCCCCCTATATATATCACCCCAGACCCCCCTAAGGCATCAATCAATCAGTTGATCATCATCATCTTCAGAGCTTCCACAATTATTTGAGAAGATCTACTAGAGAGAATAGAATAGATCTCTAATTCCTCAAAGTTTTAGTATAAGCTAGCTAGTAGATTCAAGTAGAGTTAGGCTACTGCTCAGGATTCTGGATTCGTCATGTGGAGGCTGGTATAGCCACTGTATCCTCTATTATTCATGACTTTATGCTTAATCTATATTATGTTTCTATTTGTTATGTTCTTAGTTTGCTTTGGTAGTATGCTAGATATAGTCATAATTGATACTAAGCTTATGCATAAGTTCGCAAAGCGCTTAGCTCAATACTCGAGTGAGTTAAGTGGTTGACATTATTTAAGTATGGTGTTTATATATTGTTTACCTGCGGATGCATTCTATATTTCGGGCCATGTGGTAGATCGCGAGTGTGACACTGTCGTTGAGTCCTTTGTAGTCCACTCCCCGTCTGTAGAACAAGTAAGACCTAATTACGAAGGGAGTCAAGCTCTGTTCTTGATCTTCCTTAGTAATGTTCCTTATGTATAGATGAAGAGTTAATTATGCTGTAGATGAAAGTATATATACTTGGGGTGAACATAAGACTTAGTACGTAGGAATGACTTATGAATCTTTCTCTTAATTTATCACTTACTCTAGCTATACTACCATTAAGAGTATCTATTTCTATCTCTAGATTATTATCATTGCCATGCTCTTATTGTATATATCATTTGGCTTACCCTTGCTTAGAGTAAGTGTTTAGTTAGTGATCTCATCATAAGTATCATATTTATCAATATCTCTAGCCACCGCTCCTCCCTGTGGTAAAATATAAATAACGATACCTGGAATACTCCCAGGTGAAGTGCTACAATGGTATATCTATGCGTTTACAGAACATTCTCAATTATATATATTCTTTCTAAGTCACAAGTAAATACCAAGTACACTTCTTAGTGTTATTCTAGTAGTGATGCTAGGAAGTGTCAACAAGCATTTCTGGTGCCGTTGCCAGGGAGGGCACAAGGCTAAAGAGAATTGATCAAATAAATACTTATTGATGATATCATAACTATGCACCACTGCTCAAGTAGGCTTACCCTTGTTTTTATCTGTTCATATTTTATACAGGGTATTGCAGGATTGGTTTTGATTCATCAACAAATTCCATCAATCACAATCAACCCAATCAAGAGGCAGCTCCACACGAAGTTTCTGAAGCTATGGCTAACAAGACACTATGCGAGTTCTCTGTTCTAAGCGCTGAGAACATTCGCACTAGACCAACACTAAAAACCAACAACCTTGAGTTTGAACTCAAGCTAAGCCTCATCAACATGGTGTAAGCTACCCCGCACTGCTAGGAATATCCACTTTTATGACGATCAACTTTCATCACAGAAGGAGCCAAATTCATCATAATTTCGGTTCTATGATGAATTTATGATGGAAACCGGTTCATCATAGAAGTCGCGTCATACTTGAACTTCTATGACGGTTTTCGCAAATCATAGAAGTGGCTTGATCTGTGACGAAAAATAGAACATCATAGAACTGTTTTAGCATGCGTGGCAGGGGGGCTGCCACGCTGGTGGGTGCTTCCGTCGGAGATGCTTTTCCATGTGTACATGCTATAGCTGGTTGCATTAGAGATGGTTTGGGTACGTGTCACCTTCTTATTGCACAACGTACCCATCTCTGGTTCTTGCATGTTTCAGGTTCTTACTGGACCACGTGTCTGTTCCCTGTTGTTCCACATGCCAGTTTTCTACTGGCACACGTGTCATGTTGCCATTGGATCATGTGTCACTTCTTCATTGGACCACGTGTTGTATTATTATTGGTCCAGGTGTTCGTTTCTTATTTGACCACGTGTCATGATGCTGTCTGTCCACGTGTCATATTTTTATACATCCACGTGGCTTGATGATTTCCTTCCACATGTTGGATTTTTAATAGCCCACATGTCGTGCCCTGGTTAATTCACGTGTCATGCACTGGTTGGTCAACGTGTCGCATTTTTATTTGATCACATGGCCTGTCCTGGTTCTACCGCGTACAAGACTAATTATGTCAGAAAAGTAATTCGAGATCATCACTACTACATAGATTGACAACATAATTATTCAAGCTGGAAATCAAATACCAACAATTAACATTTTGCACGTCAGCTGCAAGCCACTGACAGAGTATCACCACAACAAACCATCACGAGTCCACACAACAGACCATAAATGTTCACTGCATCAAGCCGTAGGAGTTCAAGACTGAGAGTTAATTACTAGGAGAGCGTAAGCGCATGACTTGCTCACAGAGCCTATTATACTCCTCCTGTTACCGTTTCTTGAATTCCTCAAACTCCCTTTCAGACTCTTCTATCTTCCTCTTTAGTTCATCCACTAGTTCGACGAGGGTAGCGGTACTTTTCTGTTCACCAGCAAGCTACTCCTGAAATGTCATCTCCACCGATGTCTCTACTTGGGTGGAGCTTCTTAGGATACCAGCATTCTTCAAAAAAAGGTTTTCCCTACTTGCCTGGGAGGGGGGCTTGCCCTGGTAGAGGCAGAGGACCTTGGAAACAACATCAGCACTAGTCATTGGTTGCTGCCCATTAGCTACAGGTTCTGCTTGCATAGCTTCCATAGCTTCCTGTGAAATTCAATTAGTAAAACATTAGGTTATAGGTAGTGGAAGAGGACTTCAATTGAAAACCCAAGAGATTAATTCATAACAAGTAATGCATAGGAATTCCTTAGCCTACTGCTGATAGAGATTACATAAGCACAATGCATAGGTCTTTTACAACCTACTGCCGATAGAGATTAC